CTATCTCCTATTCAAGAAAATTCCCAGGAACACCAATATTATTTCGTATACTTTCTGTTTAGTTTACTTTGTCATTTAGTTGTATATATATAGTGGCTTTATTTCCTTACTTGGGGTCAAATGATTAAAAAAAAAAAATCATTTGACCCCAAGTAAGGAAATAAAGCCACTAAGACGCAAAAGGTTACTAAGTGTGAGAGAATATGAAAATAAAATATGAGAAAAACACTATTTAGGAGCGACAACAATAAGATAACAGGAATTAAGAAGATAGAAGACATCATATTTAATTTTTTAAGATCAAAGTCGACTCGGAAGAAAGAAGCCGGAAGAGAGTTCCACAAGCGAGAAGTGCGATAGAAGAAACTGTTAGCATAGAACTTACGGTTACATCTATCCATTTCAACTGCAAAACATTGAGACCTTTCCGCCAATCTAGTACTGTGCTTAAATTCATAAAGTTTAGGTACCATAGAAGAAAGTTCATCAGAATAATTACCATGAAAGTATTTATAGAAATGACACAGAGACGCTACATTACGCTTTTGACTAGCGAAAGATGCTTTCAAAAACTAAACAAATTATTAACAGGAACATTTCCTGTAAAGTACTATCTTCAAAAATTCAGTGTAACATCATTCGCAGTCTTCTGTCCTTTTTTTAATACCGTTCTTTTATTGTCCTTTCTCCTGAAGATAAAAGTTCATCATAATAATTACCATGAAACGTTACGGCTTGGGAAAGTGACTTTAGTCAAGATGCCAGTAACATTACAGATTCTTTGTATTTTGTCAAGAATCTCTAAATACATCGAAGAAGCATCAGATCAGATGTGGTAAGAATATTCAAAGCATGGACGAATGGTAGACTTATAAATGTATAAGATAAATTCTGGCGAGAAAAATTGTCTAGCACAACGCAGTGAACAAACTTTCTTAGCAGAAGACCTAACAATTGATACAATATAATATTTCCACTTCATGTAAACTTTAATCTGAAAAGGTTCAAGGAATCACTCTCCAGGAGTTTAGCATCAACCATGTTGATGGAAGGCAGAAAGGCTTCTCTCAGACGATTAAAAAGTAGTAGTAGGCGTTTAAATTAACAAACCATTCCTCATCCCAGATAAATTATCTACCAAAGCAGGTCCCGTGTAAATTATATGGTTCTTGTACTTTTTGTTACATTTTGCCACAACTATCAGTTAATAAAGCGGTCTTTTATATGCCTAGGTCCTTCAAGATGCGGGCGATTATAGCTCTGTACTTATTATCCCAGCCACTCAAGCTTGTTAAATATGTTCGGAAAGATGGGTCCCCAGTCGTGCAGATGAAACGATCAAGTAATCAACAGCACCTAGTTCTAGGAGCGCCCAAGACGCCTGTGGACATAGAAAAGATGCGAGTTAAAAATTGGAAATGCCAACATCAAGCAGGTGCAGAAATTTAAATATCCGGGAAGCATTTTTAACAGAGGATGGAAGATGCGACACTGAGATTGGAACATGCATTGGATTAGCGAAATAAACATTCCAAAATATTTCTTTAGAAACAAAGAAAAGAGTAATGGATTGCTATGTGATGTCTTTTCTCTTGTAAGGCAATGGATGATGGATAATCTCCCCACGGATGACGGAAAAAGACGTTAAGTTCAAAAGGAGGTATAAAAAACAATGTAATATTATTCCAGTTGGGCTATGTATAACAAAAATTGAACCCGGCCTGACGATCCTTTATATATATATATATATATATATATATATATATATATATATATATATATAATCGACTCTCCCATCGGCTTCGACGTATGAGGATCTGCCAGCTTATTGATTCAGTTATGAAAGTTTATGCGCTAATCTTATGTGGCATTTACAACGCGCTAGTGATTTACAAAAGAGGCCACATATGGAGCAAGTGTGAGGATTGTGAGATGAGATCACTGTTAGATTGGTTGACCTTTTAGATCTTGCTCTTGATAAGAACGAATCAAGGTAAACTGTCAGAAAACCCACACAAGTGATTTGATTAAAGTGCTGAAGGCTTGTGAAGAACCATCCACACTTTTCGGAACTACTGATACACGGACCTGGGAACAACAGCAATTAAAAGGTGGTTCCACGCTCCTTAAATCCTCTAATCTCCCGATTAGAAGACTTGCTGCCGGATGTAGTTTACCGTCATACCCAGGACATTATATATATGTATGTATGTATGTATGTATATAATTAAAAAGAAAAATGGTCCAAATGTGTTTCTTATAATATGTAGATTTAATAGGCCGGTTAATGAAATTTGAGGAATAAAAAGACAAAAATGATAACAGTATTGCCAATAAGATTGATTATATTTATTATATATTAGCGTTTTGACTAAATTGAAGCACGAAGAGAAAGATTTTAAAATCGGAATTTTCGGACACTCCTGTATCCTCTTTCAACGAGACTAGGAATAATTAAAAATTTGGGACTTTTCCGTGGAATGTTGTTGTTGTTGATTAG